GAGGTAGATGCTTGCACACAAGGATAGGGATAGTTCTATCACAAGTGGGAGATCAATAACATTCGTAAGTAAATCATTGAGCTGCAAGAACCAAACTTTGTGTGTTTATGAGAAAGAGTTGCTTGCAATTCTCATGGTAGTCGCCTAGTGAAGGTATTATTTTGAGGTAAGCGAGTTCATCACTAAGACTAATTGATGGAGCATCAAACACCTCTTAGAGCAATGAATTCAAACTTTTATGCAAGTCAAAGGAATTGTGAAATTGATGGACTTAACTATAAGATTGTGTACAAAAAGGGGAGTGAAAACAGAGCCGTAGATGCCTTGTCCACAAGAGAAGTGTATGAAGGAGAGGAATTGTGCATGACAGCATCAGCAGTTGTTCCCGTTCGGATGCAGGAAATTCAACAATCATATTAAGGGGACGGAATGACTCAGAACCTTATTCGCGATCTGATGCTGGTTCCTTATTCCCAAGGTCCATACACATGCCAGCAAAGAGCATTGAGGTACAAAAGGCACCTGTTTGTAGGGGAGAAGACACACTTGATGGAATAGTTGCTAAAACACCACCATGATTCGCACATAAGAGGGTATTCCAGAGTAAGAGGCACCTATAGCAAGTTAAAGTAAGGATTTTACTGGCCTAAGATAAAGTAAGAGGTGGGAGAATGGATAAGTAAACATGGCACCAACGGTGCAAAGGGGTAAACGTGGCTTACCCAAGGTTGCTACAACCCTTTGATATTCTAAAACAGGGTTGGACTGATGCAACAATAGATTTCATAGAGCACTTGCCCAAGTTAGAAGGCAAGGACACCATCCTGGTTGTAGTAGACCGGTTCACCAAGTATGGTCACTTTATTATCTTGTCACATCCTTTTGTTGCTCAGACTATTGCTCGAGTTTCCTTGGACCGAGTTTGCAGATTCCATGAGATGCTGAGGTCTATTGTCACTGACACGAATAAGGTATTTACAAGTCAGTTTGGGCAAGAATTGATGAAGATGATGGGAACCAATCTCCACTACAGCTTAGCCTATCATCTGTAGGTTGATGGACAGACAGAGAGGTTCAACTAATGTATTGAAGGTTATTTGAGATGTATGACTTCGAAGAAATCCAGTGCATGGTCAATATGGAGTGGTGGTATGACAACGTCTATTAGTCGAGCTTAAAAATACCACCTTTCATTGTCTTATATGGATATCCCCCTCCACTAGTCACCGAGAGCGAGGGCAGAGATCCTAGGGTGGCTAAGATCGAAGAATGGCTGGAAAAGAAGTAGGTGATGAATCGAATGCTCAGAGAACAAATTATGGATTCGCAGAATTGCATGAAGTACTTTGCTGATAACAAAAGAATCGAGAGATAGTTCCAGGAAGAGGGTTGAATGCTATTAAAACTACAACCATATTATCAGTCCAGTATAATGGTCCGAAGGTGTTTGAAACTGGCAAATTCTATGGGATATTTCATGTTATTTAGAAGATCGGATCAGTGGCTTACAGGCTGAAGTTGATTCAAGACACCACCATCCATGATGTATTACATATGTCTCAATTAAAGGAGTATGAAGGAGACAACAACGCAGAAAACAACTTCCTGCCAGTCATGGATTCAGACAGATTAAGTTAAGCTAGAGCCCGAAAAAATTCTGCAAAAAAAAGAAAAGAAGTTAAACAAGTGTTAGTAAAGTGGCTCAACATGACGTCCAAGGAAACTACCTGGGAAGACTGGAACTTCCTCAAGGAGCAATTCCCTCAAATCAACCTTGAGGACAAGGCGTCTTTACGGGGTGGGAGAAGTGTCAGGAATAAGGGAAAAGAGTTGGGGTAGATTTAGTAATATTACTGTAGGGATAATGTTGGGAATATTCAAGCCAACTCATAGGGGTAAATGTGGCAAGGTCAATTGAAAAATCTATTAAATGATGATCCTAAATAAGTTCAATTTGTCTATTTTAGGGAGGATTTTTACTGTTTGCTGATTGAACTAAGCATAAATTTATGAATTTATTTCAAACATAGTAGAAACATAAGATTTGATGGAATTTAAAAATGTACTTTGAGAGACTTTGGAGAAAAAATTGCTTGAATTGTGTTTTGCCCTCTTGTTTATATTTTGTAAGTATACTAATTCAACTAATGATTTTCGGCCCATTAGCCTAATTGGGTGTATTTACAAATTATTATCTAAAGTCCTTGCTAAAAGACTCTCTAAAGTGCTCGACAAAATCATTAGTGAATGCCAACATGCTTTTGTTTACGGGGGACAAATCTATGATGCCATTTTGACTGCTAATGAGATTGTCGATGAAGCCACAAGACACAATAAGAGGGGTGCTCTTTGTAAGCTTGACATGGAAAAAGCATTTGATCATGTAAACTGGGACTTTAATGACTACATGTTTCAAAGAATAGGTCTTGACCAGAAATGGAGAAGCTGGATCAGATTTTGCATCACAACATCCAGCTTCGCGGTTATGGTTAATGGTGGACCTTCCTCATTTTTCACTGCATCCAGAGGTTTGAGGCAGGGGGACCCTCTTTCCCCTCTTCTCTTCATCATTGTTATGGAGGCCTTACATAAACTTATCGAGAAAGCTAAAGAATTGCATATGCTCAAAGGCATTATCGTTGACAACAGAAACAAAACAATTGAGATGTCTCACTTATTTTTTGCTGATGTCACCCTTATTTTCTGTCAACCGGAGATCCGCTCACTCATCTTTTTGAGATGCATTTTATCATGTTTTCAAGCTGTTCTGGTTTAAAAATCAACCTTCACAAATCTGAAATGGTTATTTGGGTGTTGGTGATGATAATGTTGATTCCCTTAAGGATATTCTCAGTTGTAGACTCTCACTTCTGCCTATCACCTATCTCGGTGTTCTGCCGGGTGCAAAACACAAAGACAGTAGGATATGGGACCCTGTTGTTGACATGGTACAGAACAGATTGACCACTTGGAAAAATAAATTTTTATCAAAAGAGGGCAGGCTTACTCTCATCAAAAGCACTCTCTCCAAGTTGCCTATCTACCATCTCTCTGTACTCAATATTCCATCAAAGGTGGCAAAAAAGATTGAAACAATTCACTGCAACTTCTTATGGGGAGATGTGGACATTGAAAGGAAAAAATATCAACTTGTCAGCTGGAAAGAAGTAAAAAAACCGGTAGTTGACGACGGTTTGGGGTTGCGATCCCTTGTTAATTTAAATAAAACACTTCTTGAAAAATGGATTTGGAGATATTAGAATGATAAAGAAAGTCTCTGGAAAAAGGTTATTGAGTGTAAATGGTTTGCTAGTGATCAAAAGAATCTTTCACAAATTAAAAAACACAACTATGGCAGAAGTCTATGGAGAAACATCATGAACATTGGCCCAACCTTTTTTGATTGTACTGATTGGAATATCAGCAAAGGTGACAAAATTCAATTTTGGAATGACACCTGGTGCGGAACTGCAGCTCTCAAAGATAGATTCCCACAGATTTATGCCATCTCTAAATTCAAAAATGCGCTCGTGGAGGAGGTTGTCACTTCGGACAGCCTTAATACATGGAACATTACTGTTGCGAGAAACCTTCAGGATTGGAAAATTGAAGAATATGAAGCTTTACTTCTCTGTTTGTCGCACATCCAGATTAAAAATCATGACGACAAGTTGCACTGGACACACAAAAATTATTGGCAAATTCACTGTCAGCTCATTCTATGACTACCTGGATTGCCGGATCAGCAGAAATCAATTGAAATTTCCAGCTAAAATCATTTGGAAATCTGGTGCCCCACCCAGAATCTCTTTTTTCGCATGGGAAGCTGCTAAAGAAAAAATTCTTACCTTGGATAATCTTATGAGAAGAGCAATTCCTATAGCAAACAGGTGCTATCTCTGTAAAATGGGTCCAGAATCGTGTAATCATCTTCTACTTTGGTGTCCTTTCTCTCATAAACTTTGGGTGATGATTCTTGGCCTGCTGGGGCTTTCTTGGGTCATGACAAACACACAATATTTGGGGAAGTTCTTGCTTGGGAAGGTCTTAACAAAAGAAACAAACTCTTCAAACTCATCCCCCTCACGGTATTTTGGGTCATTTGGAAGGAAATAAACCAATGTGCTTTTGACGGAAAAGAATTAGACTTCAACACTTTAAAAGACAATTGGTTTCACTATTTTAGCTCTACCATACTTGAGCATGATATTGATAGTAATGTTGATTTTTCTTTTATTTTAGATATACTCATCGATATGTAAAATTGCACATGGGCGGTGCCCCCTTGGCAGCTATCATCAATACATTTTTATACTTTTCTTTCAAAAAAAAAAAAACTAATTCAACTAATGCCAGAAGATACTTCAAATTATTATCATTTAGATTCAAAATTTATTTAAAAATGAATTTCTATTCGGTTCTTTTGCAAATGAAATAACATTTTATCATTCATTTGTTCCAAATGAGTACACCATTAAGTGCTCGCTATTAGTGGACTTGGGAGATCACCAATACTGTAGATATGATGCTTTTTAGGTTGCAAGTATATGCAAAGGATTCTTTTGGGTTCAATTCTTATTCAGCTCTTGTCTTATTTCTTACTTGTCTAAGTAGGAAATGAAATCCACTCTAAGGAACTTAAGACTGGAGGGTACAATTAATTCAAAATGGAATTAAGGATGCTCAGTTCAGGAACCCTTCCTTGGTACAATGTATAATGTTGATTGGTTCGTGGAGATCACAACGAACCTTAATGATTGGGAAGTGAAGGAGTCCTAGGCACTTTTTCTCGCTCTATCCAGGGTTAGACTTGATTGGGCCAGGATTACCCTGTTTAGAAGCTTGATGCTAGAGGGATTTTTTCTGTTAGATCCTTCTGTAACTACTCGGCAAAAAGAGGGCTTACATGCAATGACTTTCCTTCTAAGGAAATTTGGAAAGTCAAAGAAACCATCTAAACAAGGTTTTTTTTTTCTTTTTTCTTTTTTTGCTTGGGAGGCAGATAGAGGTGCATGTTAACTTTGGACAAGCTGATTAGGAGGGGTAGGATTAAGTTGTATGGCTGTTTCTGTGCAAAAGAGATGCAGAGTCGTGCAACCACGTTGGATTTTGGTGCCCATTTGTTTATGGACTTTGGACCCTATCTTGTAGCTCTTGAGTTTTAATTGGGTAATGACAAACTCAGAGTGAGGGGAGATTTGGGGTGGAAATGAATTAGTGTACTAAAAAGCATGTGGGTCTTATCCCCCTTGCTACTTTCTGGGTGGCTTGGAAAGAGAGAAACATAAGAGCTTTTAAGGGCATTGAAGCTAACTTTAATAAGATTAAGAATAGTTGGTTCCAGACCTTAGGTTTTTTGATTAAGGGTTATCCTATTTGTTTTTGTATGGATCTTGGGGACTTTATAAACATTTTGTTTGATATTTAAATACTTTTCTATATGGGTTTGCACCTCCTTGGTGCTTGTGAATAGATACTTTTTATTTCAAAAAGAAAAGTTAATTCAAAATTGAAATTGTGATCTACTTCTACATAGCACGAATATTTTAGTATTTAGTAAAGAAACACTGACCAGACACTAATATCTTTCTTCTTATATTTTTCTTTGAAATTGGGGGTTCTCCATTATGTTTCTTATATGAGACACGAGGCTTCTTATATTTCTGAGCAAACAGCTTTATTATGCAAGTCACAATCTTACAATAATGCTTTAGGTAAGTAATGGTCTTATAGTTAAGCTTGCATGCCTGGACTACATTCTTGATGCATAATTGTGGTGATGTGAATTTTTGGAAACTGGAGTAACAAGAGAGATAACTAGAGTCATTCTATCACATAGTAAATTAATTTTTTCTTTACTTACTGCTTATCTACTCTATTGCATGGGCGTCTGTTTTTAAGCTCTATTTAAAAAAGAGCTCTAACTCGGCTAGTTTTGCAGATCCTTAGTTTAATTAGAGTTAGATGTAAAACTTGGTAGTATTTGTGCATGGCATGTTAGTCAAATAAATAAAAACAAAAATTCCCGTGGCATATTCCTAAATATGATTATTAGCCTTAAATTTTTCAGCAATGCCAACATCAGAGGGGCTCACTCCTGCCATTTCACTTACTGAGAATGCAATGAAGCACTTGAAAAAGATGAGGGCTGACCGTAATGAAGATTTGTGCTTGAGAATCGGTGTAAAACAGGGTGGATGCTCGGGCATGTCTTACACAATGGAGTTTGAGAGTAGAGCAAACACAAGACCAGATGACTCAATTATAGAATATAATGGCTTCGTGATTGGTATGATCTTTTTCTGCCTTCATATTTGGGTCATACTACTCTCATGAGCCTTGGTCACACAAATCTCATATTTATCTTGATCATATAACTAACAAATCAAGCTATTACTGGTATATCATGAAATCAAAGTCTAATAATTTCTTTTGGCAATCATTTCAACATTATGGCCCTGTTTAGTTGTCTTTTTTTGAGATTCTTTTTCTCAAAGTAAATTTTTCTTATTTGCTTTTCCTAAAGATTTTTAATTGGAGAAAAGAAATGTCGTTCTTTTTGGAATTTGCTTTTAAAGAGCCAAGTAAAACCATTAATGAATTTAATTGTATTACCATAATATATTCAAATGCATTTTGCCCAAGCAGAAAATATAATATGCAATACCCTCAGTAAGACAATTTTCTGAAAATTATAACTAACTTTCCCTTTTTCTGATAACAACTGGGGATATTTGGTTCACTCTTTTTGTGAGAGCTTATTAGTTGGAGAACTTTTAAGTTTTCTAACCGCTTAGAAGATAATATAGTTTTTTTTCTAAAGATAAAATAAACCATTGAAGTGTTTAAGTAACACAAACTTATAAGCTGTATTAGTTTATGCACGCTTTTGATAATGTATTGCTTATAGCTGTCAGTTATATTAAAATAAAAAAATATCATTCCTGTTATTTTCAACAATGGAATGTACTTTTCTGTCAGAAGTTCATTTACCTATGCTAGTGTTAAGCAAGAGTAACATACTAATTTCCAAATCAGTTTTTATTTTTATTTTATGTTAATACTTAATCTGACTCAATACTAAAATCTAGCAACTGCAATTTGCTTCTTGCTCTTCCAGTACACCATTTTAGCATCCACAAAGGCATAGTAACAATTAGAAGCAGCCCAATCAGCATTTTATGGTGATGTTAGACAAATTAAGTTGATTTGCCTACTTAGAATATAGGAATAATAACCTAGACGCCATATGTAAAAATTCTTAAGCATCATACTCGAAAGGTTTGATTCCATTAGATAATCAGAAAATTGAGAATTTCTAAAATATTTTATTGAATAATAACCTAAAAATTGAAATTACAAAACATTTATCATGCTTCCTAAATAACCTTTACTGAATATAATTAAATTAAGGAATATTGATACTAACAGAATTAGGAAATAGTACTATTAATACAATTAGGAAAATTAAATACTAATGAGAATAAAATCCTAAAGTTATTAAAACGAGAATAATAAATCCCTAACTAGTATGGTAGTTTTATATTTTACAGAGTTACGGTTCAATTCTATTTAGACAATGAAACCTAATACATTCTGCATCATTTTCTTTTGGTTGGAAAAAAATCGTTCTGAGTTTTGAAATGGCGAATAATGTAAAATATTGATCTTTGAGCTTCCTTATGAAAGTTCAACAAATTTTATGCTTGATCATTCTTTTCAATAGCAAACATAATGAGAACACATAATTGTTTAGGAGTATGAAATTCTGGTGGTAGGATGAAATCAATATATTGACTAATTGATGTGTCAGGTTTCTCCTTGCATGGAACTTCTTAGAGTTGTCTTTTGAGAAAAGATCTTGAGCATAGGAACACATGGTGGTTCTTCTTGCTCCTTTCTAAGTATATGCACCTTACTAAAGACAAAAGAGAGATATTTACTTGTTCCCTAGTGCTAAACATCATCCTTGTAGTATCCATTATCATCATCTCTTCTTTGCATCTCCTTGGGAGAGTTGGAAGTTGATATTAATCCATTCTTCAACTCATCTTTTGATTCAAAGATATCATTAGGAGTGAATTCCATGATAGGAAATTCAATGTTTCTTGGTATTGGATATTTTAAATATTCTTCCATGTCAAGAGCAACTTGGTAAGTCTGTGATCTGGTTACAGGAGATTGTTGAATTAACTCTAATTTAACAGTAGTCATTAACTCTGTTTTGAATCGAGATGTTGTTTGGCTATTGTCTTCTACCAACTCACTTTGAATTTCTAATTCAAACTTCCATGGTCCTCAGTTACTTGACATTTTGTCTTGAATTAAACTATAAGTTTGATCAATATGTTTGTGAAAGTAGTTGGGAGGTAAATATTTTTCATGAAGAGTGGCTTTCATCTTATCTCATGTTTCAATTATTGGTTATCTCCTTTTTGTATTGCTCTGATCAATATTGTACCACCATATTTTTACAAGTCCAAACCAAACTTTGGCAGATCTAGTAAAACTGACATGTTATACCAGTTAAATTATTTCTTCAATTGAGTTAAGTCAATCGAGGAAGAAATATGATCTTTTCTTCTATTGAAATCAGGAGTTTCAACCTTTACTTCCTTGGTTATATCTCTAGCATTATCTTCAGTGTGTCTTTTTTCAGCTGCTGGCAATTTGCAAATTTTGAAATAATGAAGTTACTTGTGCAGTGTAGAGGTGTCTTAGTTCTGCGAAAATTGAATTGGTTGTATTTTGCATTCTTTGGAATCTAGTATTAGTATCTGCCTCATGTGAATTTTGTCTTGCATTTAGTTCAGCATTCTTCACCATTTAAGAGTTGAAAATTTTCTTGAATGAGTGTCAGACTAGTCTGTTTGAGGTGGGAACTAATCAAGGGAACCGGTCTGATCAAACTCGAGGCTGAGAAAAGTCAAAATAGTTTAGAACGATCGTGTTAACTTGTAGCTGAGCGTGCATTTGGCTCGCACAACTTTTTGGTCGCCCAAAATGACAAGTTCTATTGATAGACTTGATTGGAGATGGGGGTTGCAGACTGAAGGTTGGTGTGAGACTCGATTATCTTGAAGGACAGGATAACGAGAAATAGCTGCTAGGGAGCTTGGGAAGCGTTTGACTCATTTTTTGCTGGAGTTTTGATTGGGGTTTTGCGAGGCTGGTGGTGCCAACTGTGTGGATCAGATCTCACCGGTGACCATAATCTAGGATGGTGGTAGGTAGATTGGGTTAGGGTTCATGGTTTTATGTTGTTTTTGTTTGGAAGGTTTTGGGTGTAGGATTTTGAAATTTTTCGATGTAGGGATTTTTTTAACTTTGATACCAACTGGTTATAACAAAATAAGCTTAATTTGCCAACTTAGAAATTTTGGTAATAAAAGCCTAAAACCGCACATATTGTTTCTTAAATATCATATTTAAGAACCCTCAAACATCACAATAAGAACTTGATTGTATCACACTACCAAAAAAGTGAAAAACTCTTAAAGTATTATATTGAATAATTGAAATCTATAACAAAAAATCAAATCACAAAGATATTTGTAATATTTCTTATGTAATCTTTATTAAATAGGAGCAAACTAAGAAATGCTAATACTACTAGAATTAGGAAATAATATTACCAATACTAATAGAAAAATTAAGTTATAATAAGAATAAAATAATGAAGTCACTAATACAATATTAGACTACTAAATGGTATGAAAATTTTATATTTAATAGAATTATGGTTTCTAATATATTTAGGCAATCTAAAACGAAACCATTCTGCATTATATATTCTTAGGTTAAGTAAGCCCACGATCAATCCACTATAGATGCACCTTTAAGATCATTTAGATGCATATAACTGCCTGCCAGTCACTAATTCAAGTAGAGTGCATAAAATGACTTACGACAATTGGTGGCGAATAAACTGTATGGATGAATTATAGTGAGTCAATTCAATTTTCCAGCTAACACCATATGCATATTGTGGTCCTCGAGTAGTTTATTTCTTATGATTTTTTCCTCATCCAAAAAGACACTGAAAGAAGTAAGATACATGCGCTGAAGTAGGACCTAGCTTCCTTAATTTCTCTGGAGAACGATGACTTGAAAAGATTGTGAATTTGAGATTGATTATTGTACTACAGGCTGCCAGAAAGAGTTAAAATAGTTTAAGCTCTTAGATTCAAGTTCTTCGCTGGTGCTCTTCCATGTCGTCAAATCTTAAATAACAACAAAATTGGGCAAGAAAAAAATACAATAGCTTGTTAATTCCCTAGTTGACATGAGATTAACTAAACAACTGGGAATGTAAAAAGCAGAAGGTATGGTGTGATGAGTAGGTCTTCCACTATTAATAGGAACTTCACTCTCATTCCCCAAAGTAATTGAAGGAATTTGGACCGTTCCTTGTTAGAAACCATCAATGCACTCGCTATAGAAGTTGAACTTTGCGGTTTTGTCTCATTTGTAATAAAATTAGCTATTTGAGGTGTTTCATAGTCAATTACCAATAATCATCATGTTTATCACCATTTCCCATAATGGGAGCACTCTCGTAGTATATTATGTTTATCATGACCACCTCAAAGTGGCACACACAATTACCACACGTACTTTTGAATGACCATGATGACTACTGCATCCTTCCCCTTAGCCTCCATTTCTCTTGAATAACCAAGATAGAATTGGTAATATATATCTTATGAGGAGGTATCCTTAAAGGAAGATCACAATACTCCTATATAGGCTTGCAAAAGAAGGAAGGCCATCTCTCCCAAATATTTATGAGCATATAGGCACAAATCGTAGTTTTAATCCTGGCAAGAGACACATGGTCACTAATTGCTCTCTTTGGTTGAGTTCATTCAATTCTTCATAAGCCTATTGTAGCCTATCAAAATATCTAATAATGTTCTTCACCTTGCAGGGTCACAATGCTTTTCGCCTTGAGTAGAAATTACTCCTAATTTTTACTGCATTATGATCGACATAATGTAATGTACCTAATAGAGTCCAGGCTTGTTTGGGTATCTGGAGTGATTAGAGGAGGAAAAAACTTATCTCTCATATCCCTTTGGCCACTCTCTGGATATTTGGAAAGAAATAATCTAGATAGCTTCTGAGGATATGATTTTTCTTTTTAATATAGTTAAAGATTTGTGGTTGCAGATTGTATTTTTGTACAAGGGTCATTCTATTTATTGTATGGAGGATTCTGGGAACCTTATTGATTATCTGACTGTTGTGTAAGTTTTGTTCTTAGGTTGTACCTCTTGGTGGCTTCTTTATAATAATGGTATTATCTAAAAAAGTTGCACTCAGTGGGTGTCTATATGATTTTTTCAATATCCTTTTTTCTAAGAACTTAAGGTAAGCGTCCCTTTTCACCGCTTCGTTCATCCTTGTTATGGAAACCCTTGATTGCCTCTTGACCAGTGCTAGAAGAAGCTAATATGTGTACCACTATGTCAGAGGGGGATCAAAAGGCAAAAATTTTCCATCTCACATTTGCTAATATCACTCACTTTTCTTGAAATCGATAGAGAGGCTAGTATCAATATAAGGTGTGGCTGTTATGCTTTCAAGTTGTTTTAGGTTTTTGGTTAAAAGTCAATTGGAGGAAATCTGAGATTACTCTAATTGGGCAAGATGTTAATTGTGATAAATTTGCTTGGACCCTGTGTTATCAAGTTAATATTCCTATTAGTATCTTGGCTTGCACCTTGAAGCCTACATTTTAGAAAATAACTTGGGGAATCCCATTGTTTGAAGGATGGAGATGACGTTAGCCATTGGAAGATGAATTATTTATCTAACTTGGTGGATTGACACTTACAAGTGCCTTATCTAACCTTGCTATCTATTTTCCTTCTTCTTTTCCTGTTTCTGGAAAAGTGATTTGGAGGATAGTCTATCCAGTGTTGATTCTTATCAGTTGATATAAATGCAATGAGGTAGTATTATCTTTATTTTTGAAAGAAGATGAGGTAGTATTACTTGATGGCCTGAAATTGTTTGAACATGCTCATGAGGAAATCAGCTCTAATCAAGTTTTTGTGGCCAAGTGGAAACAGTTTTTCTCTATTGTAAGACTTCTGCGTACTGGAGATTTTTATAGTGCCAAAGTTAGGTTTCAGATAGATGGTTGGTGCTCTAGGTCAAGTAAGGGATCTTGTGGCTCTAGTTCTTAGATATGGATTACGAGGAAGTGGTCAGAGTTTCACTACCCCATTTGTTTAAAAGTATGAAGTGGTAGTAAATGGGGTTTTTGATCAATGTGCTGATTGTTTGTGTGGTAATAGGCCTTCCCCTATTATCTTTTCTGTGCTAGACTTAAAGGAAGCATCCCTTCTCCTCCAAACCTCAGC